TCGAGTTGCAACCAGAGTCATGGAACGGATTAAGTTCGTATCCCGAGGTACCACTGTAATTAAGTTTTGAAACAATAATATAGAAAGATCAAAAGATAAATCCTCAGTGTAAGACTGAACCAGAACCAGGGTATTAACATTTGTCATTTCAACAAAAAAACAAATTGTTGTTCAAATTGCCAATTTGGCACTTGCTACTAAGAATAATTTATTTTGACTTCTTAGACATGCAGAAAAACTTGGGATTCAACTGGCTGATCTTCATCTTCATAATCAAAAGCTTGGGGAGAAGTTGAAGAAAGATGCAAACGCTATTGGTAAATGGTTCAGTTGTTTGAGAATTCCTAAATCCCAGAAATTTAAGAGCTATATGTTGAACTGTTAATGCTTCCAACAGCTTTGCTTTACCTCCTACAAAACCTGGTTGTACAGGCCTAGAAAATCCCTTTTTTGTGAATAGAAAGACAATCAAAATAGCAACAAGGTTATTCTTTGTCAATATGATTTCAGTAAGAACCATCTTTTAAATGTGCAGTATTCCTTAGTGTTGGATATCTCATTTCATTGTTAACATGGATGATGGATATTGAAGAGCAATATTTATATAGTTTTAGATACACAAAAATATGTAGCCTGAACTCATTTAGCTACAATCTCAGTTATTTCTGTATCCATTTAGAAGATTTAGATCCATTTAGAACAGCAAAACGATCTGGTATCTGTGGTAGTAGTAAACTATACCTCTTTTTCTATTCAAGGTAAAAGTGAAGATCAAATGGATATTCACTTTGTGGAAGAGTTTGGCTTCAATTCTGTCACTTGTTGTGGTTATCTTCCACAGGTAGGCTTTCCTCTAATGTCTTCTTTTGCTCTGCAAAATCTTGTTTTGTTACTCTCCATATACACTTACTGGTCTGCAACTCCTTAAAGCAGCCCTGCCTTTTCCTGGGATCATGTGATTACTTCTGCAGCTGCTGACTGAATGTGAGAAGAGACATATTTGGCTCAAGGAGTTGCAGAGAGGTGCAGTGTTTATACCCTCATTTACACTGAAGCACCTATTTCAAAAAGTGCTGCATAGCAATAATACACATATATATTAGGGATGTGTGGCACTTTGGTTCCAAATGAGAAAGGGGGCTTCTCAATGGTGTGGGCACAGACACCACACCTGTAGGTGACGCCTTAAAGAAGCTATCTTTTTTTGGGCACACATGGTAGCTGTATGATCCTAAGAAAATGTATTTGAGTTGAGGTGCTAAGCGTGTATCCATACCTGCTCCAAAGCACTTTTTCACACCCTGCTGGCTCCTCAGCTCAGGGCTTTGTGTATTTTGGGGGGGGGGGGGGATTGCCAGGCTATGAGCACAGAAAAGAAATGCAGATTTTTAAAGGATGCACTGACAAGTGTGCCACTGTGCCCATGCTCACTTTGAAGCAGTGTATATTTTGCATGTGGTGTGAGTGAATGAATAATTTAAGAGATAATTTAAGGAAGTATAATTTGGTATAAATATGCCAGTCCAGTATTACTGTAGTATCATGAATATATTATCTGATCATCATTCTGGGCTAACAGAATAACAGATGTCATTGCTACTGCTTCTCTGACAACAGATGTACCTTGCATTGAAGGGGATGATATTAGCAATAGCTAATTAATGCAGCAGAGTCCAAAATGTGATGCTACTGTGCCAGGATGTACTGTTTACAGATGGTACAGAGCTGATCACCTTCTTAAAATTAGCCAAGCTTTGGATGCTACTTAGGATGTTACTTTACCAATAGTAGCCCAATGGCAACCATCCAAAATCTTAGAGAATGATTATTTAAAATATTAGGAATTACTGAGATGGTGTATAGGGAAAGAAACAAGCAAAATGTTCAGTCTGATTTCTTCTTGGAATTTATTCCCCAAAAATGTTTTTGAGTTGGGAAATAAGTTCATATTTGTTGATTAGTAGTATAAAGGCTACAGATGTGTAAAGACTACAAAAATCTGTTTAAAATATACAGTGTAATGGAAATGATTATGTTCATATGATGAAAAAATGTAGCTAAGAGCAACAACAACAACAACAAAGACTTTATTTACAGGTTAATGACTGGCAACAGGACTGGGTAAATTTCTTTACTAGGCAACGAATTCAGCCTCAGATGGATTTGATTGAGAAGAATTCAGGAGACAGAGAAGCAAGAGAGCTTTGGGCTCAACTCCAGGTAGTGATGCTCTATGGAAATTCTAAATGGAATTGTCATATTTCTCTAAGTGATGCATATTTTCAAAGCAATATAGAGTTTCCATGCTATACTTGTATGAAACACTGGGTTCTCTACACAAACTGGTTAATGAGTTTCCTTTACTTTTAGTACTTTCTACCAGTTATCTTAACCTTATAAGAAGTGAAACATGAAAACCATTTCCTTTTTAAGATCTAGTCTCTCAAATCTATTATGAATAATAATTGAATTATTGGGGCAGATTTCCATTACAGTGGTTAAAACTGGTGTAGGTGCTACTTCTTAAACATTTTTACTTGTGAGTTCTTACAAGGCTTTTTATTCTGGGTTTTGCAGTGCAGCACATTCGTAACACATTCTATAGAATCTAGTTAAAAGTAACTTCTGTTGAATTCTATGTGGCTTATTTATAGATAAGAAGATTTTAGCTTGCAGCTTAATATTCTTTCCTTAGTAGCCCTTTTTTGTAATTAATATTTTGTTACTTTGTTATTATGAAGAACCCATATAATAATGCTGTTCTCTAAGGGGTGTGTGTGTGGGGGGGTGTTCCTATTTTTTGAAAGACCTGACTGAAGATTATTTTTTGGATTTAGAATAGTAGAATATAAATAATAATTTCAGCACCAAACTGGTCAGACTGACAGAGTGATAGTGGTTGACCTAGAAAGGATAATGTTTTATGAGTGACTTACATTGCTTATTCTATTAATTACCCAGTGACGTTTATATGCTTGAAATTCTGCCTTTTTCCCCTTCATTAATATTGTTGTTTTTTTTACTATGGCCTGTGGACAAATAATAAACATACATTTGTTTCATTTTTAAATAAATCATATATGTGTGTATAGTATCTGTAGATAGATAGATACACACACATACACATATGCATATATATACACACACAGACACACATATATACAAGTATATAACAAAGTGAACTGCCCTTAAAGCCTAGTAAATAAGGTAGAGAATTGCACACTAACCCCCCCTCCAGAATCACCAAGTATACAATAGACTAGGACTGCATTCATATAACATGCTATAACAAAGTATTTTTTAGTAAACTAACAAACTGCTGCTTTTGCATTCATATTATTATGTAAATAAGAGGGAAAATGTTTGTTCCTGCTGTGGTTTAAATGTTAAAAAAGTCTTTGGTGATATTAAATTTAAAAATTGAAGTACTTTCTGCCATGTTAAGTGATTTACAGTCAAGAATTACACAGCATGTAAAGCCAGAAACGTAGGTTGCTTGTTTGGGACTTAGTGTGTTGTGTGAATTTACCTAGTCTGGGCTGCAAACCATTATTATGTGAACTTAGCTGGGTGAAATTTAATAAACCCTGGTTAAACAAATCATAGCTTAGCATGTTATATGAATGCAGTCCTAGTCTACTGTATACTTGGTGATTCTGGAGCGGGGGGTTAGTGTGCAATTCTCTACCTTATTTACTAGGCTTTAAGGGCAGTTCAACCTCAATTTTGAACCATTTTACCTGTTTGTAATGCTACATGCATTTTTTCTCACCAAAGAAAATCCAATAAAAACAGTAAAACTGTAAGTTGTCTTTTTAATGGTACTGCTAGGAGGAGTACTGCAATTAGGTGCGCCTACAGGCATCTCTTTCTGCTTAAAGTTCCACAGTTAAATGTCTAGTAAAATAACAGATGAAAATGTCTTTTTTTTCCCTCCAGCCCAGCTTATTGTTTGTTTCTCTTCCTTTTCTAGCTGAAGATACCCAGTTTGTTTGGTGAACTGAAAATAGTTCCTGCTCTTTTGCATGGGGATCTGTGGGGAGGGAATGTAGCTGAAGATGATTCTGGGCCAGTTATCTTTGATCCTGCCTCTTTCTATGGTCACTCTGAGTATGAGTTAGCAATTGCTGGGATGTTTGGTGGTTTCAGTGGTTCCTTTTATTCTGCTTACCACAGTAAAATCCCCAAAGCAGCAGGTTTTGATAAACGGCTCAAGCTCTACCAACTGTTTCACTACATGAACCATTGGAATCATTTTGGTGGAGGCTACAGAGGGTCATCTATAAATATTATGAAAAATCTGGTGAAATGATTTATTGTGAAATTTTAACTCTGCTTGGAAAAATACATGGCTTTTCAGCTGCAGTGATCTGTGATGCTTATTTATTAGAGTTATATCCCCCCTTTCATCCAGGAGCCCAAGGTGATGTGCATAGCCCTCCTTCCAATTTTTACTCAGGAGAGAGAGGGAGAGGTAATGATTAGCCCAAAGTCGCCTAGTGAGCTTCCATGGGTAAGGTTCCTAATCCCACTCCAACATCTTAATTGCTACTTTACACTGGTTATAATCTGAAGTATTATCCTCTTTCCATAACTGAAGATCAAGCTTGGTGTCCTGGTAACTGCAGTTTATTAAAGAGCTGCCTGAGGGGGAAATAATCTGAGATTTGCATGAAGGAGTTTTTGATGTTGAGATGACAAGATAGAATTGATTTAGTAGATTGCAATAGAGAAAACTGCTCTTGAGACAATAGTTTAGGATACATGTTTTGCCAGCAAGGGTAGAAGGGGCAAAAAAACTATGGTGGGCCTTTAGTTCAGGTCATGTGTTACCAACAATGATCATAAAGATGCAGTCAGAGATCTTAGTGATCTTTCTTTCATAACACTGTACGCATGAACGTATTGGGAATTTTCTTACTGTGCTATGTAACTAGATTACTCTCAGTATTTGTAATATAATTTGTATTTCAGTATTATCATTATAGTTGCATTTACATTAGATGCATCTCTTTAGCCTAAGCTAAAATTAGAATATACGGGAGTGCAGCCTAAGTGGCTTTTGTTGTTTCTTCAGTGAGCGTTCTTAGCATGGCTCTGGTTGTCAAAATTCTTTGCCTGTAGGACTCTGCCTGAATCTTCCAAGCACACCACAACTTGTAGTGACCTGGTTTTCCTTCTGTAAGGCTTCAGCTAGTGTCTGTTCCTAACTACCACACTCTTGACTTAATCTTGTGATGTACAGTGTACGTTCTTGGACTAAGTTTATTTATAGGCAGCTGTAGCTATTTCAGGGTTACTTTCTTGTGGCTGTTGGGTGGAGTCCATGCCTTATAGTAGCCATTCAGCTGAGCTGGGACCGGAAACCCTAGCCAATCATTGCTGTGCTGGCTCATAAATCTTGGGATTGTATACTGTCCACAAGGTATGAGGTTAGAATAGGCTCTCTTAGTGATTTTTGCAGTATGTTCTGAACTACTTTAGAGTATTGATAAAAATGAAGTAACCTTTGTGCTGGTAAAACACTAAATACTGAATACTACTTAATATTAATATTATAGGGTAGGACCATATAGATTATGAGGAAGGAATTATAATACCACATCTCCTTCTATTGTAATCCCTTGGTTGTCTGCAATATCTTGCAACCAGTTAGGCTGGTAGTCTTTCCATAGAATGCTTATGACTTAACTGCTGCTGAGCTACAGCAAAAATATGGTTATTTCCCATCTGCCCACCTCCCAAATACAAAATTTTCCTGTTGGAGAAAAAAAAAAATTTCTTGATTTTTGTCTGTCACTTAAAGCACAAAGTCTAACTAAAAAAGTGGAAAAAATAATTCTAATCCAGATTGCAGTAGCACATTATTTCTATTGAATCTTTTAGTACTGAAAAAGTGTTTAAGTTGTTTCTTCTTTAGTCAGGCAGAGACTTACTGTACCGGACAGATTGAGAGAATTAATTTTAGCTATATTTCTGTGTCCAGTGGCAGTTCCCTTTGTGTGGATTGTTTAACGGGAAGACTAGAAAGAGGAGAGGGAAAAGTGTTACTATTACTAATTCTCTTTAGTTCTTGCAATTGCATGATTCCTGTTAGCTCTTGTTTCTGGAGTGCAGCAGGAGGAATGCTGAATCATTATACTTAATATTTGAAAAAGTATACTGGAAATATCCTGAAAATGATTTACAACAACTGTAAAATGCTGATGAAGAGTTTTGTAAAAGGTAGTAAATAGAACTCCTTAAACATTTCAGACCAAAGTAATATTTGGACCTGCGTGGAAGGACATGCATGAAAATACACTATATGTAGAGATACCAAAAGATTGCATTTAATGTACTGGAGAAGATGTGTCTATGGCAAACAATTAGAATATCAATTTTGCTCTTTCAGATGTTGCTTTTTGGTGGCTCTTCATTCTAAATCACCAGGTAGGTAGAGAGGCATGATTACTAGAATGTATGTTCATGCAGAAATTGGAATGTTTTTGATGGCTTTGAATTAACATTATTTGGGAAAAAAATATTACACTAATTTTTAAAAATTCCAATAGACTGTGTGTTTCCCTGCTTTCTCATTTTCCATAATATTACTGGCTGTTCTGAGTTTAAAGAAGAATATTACTCATGGGTGCTGTTTGTCATCTTTTGTTATTGTTGAAATAAAATATGTTCCTGAGCATTTCACTTTTATAAAATTAATCCTAGTTTTTTATTCTTTTTTCTCTGTTTGGAATTATAAATTCACCATCCATTTTCTTGAAATATTTGGACAAACATACAACTTAGAATAATTCACAGTGTACCCACTTGTATGTTGTAAGCCTTCAGAGGCGTGGCTTATCTGTCCATTTGTTTTCAACCTTTTTGTCTAACATTTGTAATTGAAATAGTGTGAATTTCCCGAAATCATCATGGAGAGTTCTAGCATGACATGTATGTAACTTAAAAAAGTCATGTTCGCTTCTAAGCAAAGTCTATAAGTACTATGGAATAACTCAGCAGTAAAAGAAGAGTGATCATTTAACATGCAAATAACTGGACATTTGTCAAAGAACTCCAACTTGGTTACATTTGACTTGAGCAAACTTTCAAAAAAGAGAATTAGTAAAAAGTTAAAAGCAAGAGCTAAGTCTCTCCATAATGCTTGAAGATTATTCTAAACTACTGTAATGAAAAGTATCTTGTGTTCAAGAAGAATGCTACAAAATTGTTTCGGGGAAGAAATGGTGGACTGAAGACTGCTCCATGAAAAGTGGAGCCAACGACCATGGCAGAATGAAGAGCTGGTGAATAGACCAGTTATTTGACACCTCTCTGGACAAGGAGAGAGCTTGAGATTACCCACAAATGCTCCAGACAGCTGTTCCTCATGAGAAGACCGCAAAATAGCGGTCTCTGTCGGGTTTAGAGCTCTGGAAGACAAGGGAATAGTCATTTTGCTCAAACAAGGAGTTGAAGCAGAAGCGAGTGCACCAAGGCAGGAGAAGTGTGAGATCCTCGCCTAACAATGGCGCACTCCTCGTCTAATGACCACAACTGGGACTACTGGAACTGCCATTACTAAGCAGTGCAGTCATGCTGTTTTGATAAACGATCACGTGGCTTAGCAATGGAAATTCTGGTCCCAATTAGGATCGTTAAGCAAGTCACTTGTTTTGTGAGATGGGCAGCTATATAAAATTGACAAATAAAAAATATTGAAAGATATTTTTGAACAATGGACCCAGAAGTTAATTTTAAGAGTACCTGCTTCTATAGATAGACTGTGTTTAAAAGATGTTATGGAAGAGGAACAAGTTTTACCTGATAAGATTGAGACTGATTTGAAAGTAGACTTACAAATGACAGGCTATAAGAATGACATGGAAAAAGATGTTATACTGGACAAACAAAAGAAACCTGCTGATGTCTTAATAATTAAAAGGGATATACAAATAACAAACCAAGAGAATAACTTGGATAATTTTCCTATATTGGATTTACAAAAGAGGCTTATCAAAGTTTTGAATTTTGTGAGAAGGGACAAAGAAAAAATGAAAAATCAAGTTCAACATATTTGAAGGGACTAAAAATCAAGATTGTTAGAAGTACAAGGAAGGAATTTAAAGTTGGCTTATTTGATCAAGGTTAAAATAGATAAATTGTTATCTTTGGTAACCCTTAATGGACTTTTGCTGACGATAGAACAGAAATGACGCTATATGGATTTGTTTATAGATAAGAGATAGGATATGGGAAGAAGAGATCATTTGTATTTTAAGAGAAGGTTATAAGTTACTAAAATTTGTTCTTGTGATGAAGGGGGAAGACCTTTGTTTCTTTTATTTTTCTTTATTATAGTCTTATTTTTTCTTTTCTATTTCTATTTTTTTTTATGCACTTTTAATTTTTTCTTTTTCTTTTCTTTTTTTAGTTTATTAGTTTTTACTGTTGTAATCTTTAATAAAATTACTGTTAAAAATGCTACAAAATTGGATAGTGGGCCAGAACAGGGAAGCTGTTAAAGACAAGGAGACTTCTTTCAACAAATTGATGTCTTGCCGAAGTAGAATGGAAAAGAAAAACAAAAAAAGCTGTTGATAAAAAATAAACTCAAGGAACAGACAAGAACTTAAAGAAAAATATATTCAAAGCAGGCAACCAACCAGGGAGCCAGTCAATTAAGAGACATTAAATGTGTACTAAAGATAGGTTGAAAGATTGCAGAGAAATGAAATGCATTCATGTCTGATTTTATTACTGATGATGTATGACAGACATGCTTTTTCAGGGGAAAAACCAGATGAAGTAGGTAACAAGATATTCTAGGTCTAATCAATACTTTAAAAATAAATCCTCAGACACAGGTGATAACTATATGAGGATTTGTAACTCAAATATGAAATTGCTTATTTTTGTCAGAAGATCAACTTCTATGCAAAGGGGGCATTCTGATAATGCAATAAAATGCTCATGGAGTTCAGAATTGTATTCTAGTGGCATTTGAAATGAAGCCATACTTTTAAAGTTGGGTTTTCATGATAGAAATAAATGATAACATTGGAGTTGTACCTATTTTCTACTCCTTGGTATCAGATAGTTAATAAAAAGAATATTAGGAATAAGGAATAAACATAAGGATTAGGAAGTATGATAGATGGAGTTAGGATAAATATTTTTGTATGTTTTTTAAAGTTATTTTGTATATTGCTTTTGTAACCAATAATAGAGATACCCCTATATGAATAAAAGAAAATCCTGCTCATCTTTACGCTTTACTTTGTAACATTCAAAAACCAGCCTCTGACATAGATGGAATCTTGTATGATAATAACTCCTTTTGATTACTGGCTGCAAAGAACAAGAAAACATTCCTTTACTGTGTGCTCAATATCTGACTGCACTTTTGGCCAATTCATAAAGTTCTTAGCACATGTCCTTGATCTTTATATGTTGATGTGAAACATGCAACCAACCCAGCAATCTTACCTCACTGAGGTAGGAAGCACTACCTTTTCTCCATAATCTACAGTACTATCCTAACATTTGTAATTACAGTGGGGCAAAAAAGTATTTAGTCAGCCAACAATTGTGCAAGTTCTCCCACTTAAAAA